TCAAAACAAAGCGGAGACTCACCTCTTACATCAGGAAGAATCCGTGCGTTTTGAGCGTTATCCATTCTTTCATAAGCCGTTGTTGAATTGTGCAGATGCTTTTCCGGTTCGCGCCTCGCTTTTTTTACAGCAGCGGCCCAAAACGATCTCCTAACACACGGATGTTTTGCTTCCTGATCACGTGACGTATGCGGATGAAGATCGGCTTTAGAGCTGAGATGTTCTCACGGAGCGGGGGCTCGTCCGACGCCCACACAGTAAAACATGCATTGGCAGTGAACGAGTTAAAGTTGAACATGTGGTTCAGTCGTAAGTAGCATCTTTCTGTTTTTGTTCCGTCTCTGTGGTGTTGATCTTCCAGCTTCAGGGAGGATCTTTCTGCTCTTTAAAAGGATCATGACCTCATTGTGTTGCAGCTCACGGGCCCCAACCCCACTGCAGCGTTTGTTTAGATTTGATCATTCTGGCCATCCGAGTTCCCTTTAACCCTCTCTGTCCAGGAACACAGAAGTCATCTACCACACGTTATTAGAAGATTAACAGAAATAATTTGTTTAACATCCTAAACGTGGTGGAAGTATGCTGCTGACATTCTTGTCATGCAGACAGCGAGATGATAATCTCTTGTACGTGTCACATCCTGGTGATGAGATCTGTCTCGTCTAAACTAGTGGCTGCTTGAAGCTGAGATAACATTTTGGAAAGCCGCCTTCATTGTTCAGGTCATTGTGACTTTTTTTAGGCAGGGAGATTCAGAAATGTATTAAGAACCGTGTTGACCCGAGAGTTTCCTGTTCTTGTATTTGATGGGATCTGTTGCAGGGCTGGTGTTTGTTTGTCTCTTTAATCCTGATGAGCATGTTTGTGTTGGCTGGAAGAGGATGACCGCCCGGTCAGAGTAGCTCAGGTCTGAGGAGGGGACAAGTCAGCAACTTACGAGACATGTCAGCTGTTGTTCATTAGATGACATAAAGACGTTATAACCTTCTGTTTTTCTTTATTCACATTATGAGAGGAAAATTTCATCTTTGTCACAATGGTTAAGAGAATCACTCTCACTTCTTCTGGACCAGAACAGGTTTGAGTGCCAACTCCGGGTCGGGTAGAGGTCCTTCAAGTGGGTGATTTTAAGAATCTGGGGTCTTGTTTGTGGAAGTGGGATGTAGGAAGCTGGAGGTTGATAGGTGGACCCGGACTGAACCAGAAGGAGCTACTTCAACTTCAAATGGTGTTTTTCTTTTTTGGACTCTGGTGATTTGTCCTTAAGTTGACGTGGTAGCAGCCGGCTGTTTCCACTTCTTTGCTACTATTAAGTGGAGAACCTCACACACCACTGGCGTTCTGCTGCTAAATGCGTGAGTGTGTAATTAGCGGAGGACCCAGGGAAGTGCGGTGGTCCGGTCAGACAGACAGCCGGATGGTCCAGTCGTTGGTTTTGGACCAAGTCATGTTATTGGTGGAGGTTTTCAGGTGAATACGAGAGAACCACTTGATTAATTTTGCTCTTTTTATTGTCTTCACAAAATATTTACAGCTGCTGTATTGATTATACAAAGGTCTATAGTTAAGAGGCGTGTTTTGCGGATTTGCCGTTGAAGCTGTAATTATTGACAATGTGGCTCCGATCACTTAATTTCTTCCAGTGTTTGCAGCTTCTTAGTGCTTAAGGCTCAACGTTGACCTCATGCAAAGAAAAATGAATCCATTTTTAGAAAACTTGGCAACTAGCTTGTTTTAGTTTTCTTACCAAAAAAAATTTGCTATTGATTAATGTTGAAAATCGTTCTGAGGTCGTTCATACTTCAGATTATTTTGTGGAAGCCTCAGTCCGATGAACTCTACTAGGGATGTAAGAAAATATCGATATGGCAATATATCGTGATATTTTTTCCAGCAATATTACATCGATATTCAAAAGCCGTGTATCTAATTCTTGAAACAATTTACATGCAAACATTTGTGTATTTTCTTTTCATTTTGTGCAATTCAATCGCCACCCGCTAGGTGGCAGCAGTGTGCCGCAGGTTTTGTTTCCACCATTGAAATGTAAATCCCTCCGTCATGGTTCAGATACCTCATGTTAAACACGTTACGTATCAGTCTGGACTGTTTATTGAACATTCTTACAATAAAATCAGTAAAAATTGCTTGTAACGTCTGACTGAATGTATCGTGATATGAATCTTATTGCCAGAATTTCAAAAATACACATCCCTGAACTCTACCAAAGATAAAAACACGACCATTCAGGTGTGAGATCACAGTTGGTCACTTTGTGTTTTAATCCCTCAAATAGCAGAAAACCTTTGACTTGTTTGCTAAATGCTAACACACTTTAGTCCCGATCAGCCATTTAAATGGTGACACTAACTGATTAGTAAGTTTTGATGGGTTATAGTTATTCTGTTAAATAACGATATAAATGAGCTCCCGAGGGCTTTGTAGCATCCTGGCAGCAGTCGTATAGCAGAGACTCGCTGGTCTTAAAGGTTTTTTCTAAGACTGGCTCTGCTGTTCCTTTTCAGGGCTGTAAACCTACCTCTCCTGCCGGCGCATGCCGTATTGGCACCTTGTTTCTTGCAGCGTATTGTTTGTTATCCATATAAGGGCGCGTGTGCTGGGAAGCCTCTGCTGTCTGAGTGAGGTTTTTATCGGGGGAGCGTCACCGTGCCCATGCAAGCACAGAATGCACCAGAGAAAGGAGAACGTGTTCGAAACACTTTAAAAGCTTTCTCTGATTGTTTTATTATCATAAAAAAACATTCTTTATGGTCAACGTTTTGAGTAAACATCTAAACATCGGCGCTGATGCCAAACGATGAGTCACTGGAGCCGGTCTGAGTCATGCTGACTGCTTTAAAAACGTTTAATTTGCCTTTGAGGTGGGGGAAATGCTTCTTTACAACTGATTATGCAACAGAACTGGGTGCTTAAAGTGAGCTGAAGTGTATTTGGAGTGTTTGGTTGACTCGTGTGTGCTGTTAAAGAGTCATTTATTTATCAGGCGAGTTTGAACGTGTCATCCTGGTTCTGGTGTTTGTTTTTAATCAAACTCGTGCAGATGTTCGTCTCTGCCATCTTCTGTCAGCTTTTCCTGCAAACCCATTAGGGCTCAGACCTTCTGCTCTCTCTGACCGACCTCACATTCTGCAGTTATTTATGCACAGCCCTCCGACTGTAGCTCTCTAGTCTTTCTTTCTGTAAGGCCTCTGGTGTGAGTGACCCAACACAGGCTCCAGTCAAACTAAACATGTCATTAAATGGTTTTGAATTAGATTCTCGTGAAGTTTCAGCTTCCTCCTGCAGGAACTTAACGCCTAAAATTAGCGGTCAGTCTCCTAGCACGAGACTCGGTTAATAAAAAGTATTTGTCATGCGCTGTCCCTGAAGCAGGGAGGCCTTTTTCTTGTTTTCTCTAAGCATGATTTAATATTAGCAAGTCGTCTGCTTGATTGGAGTGAATGCATGCTATTTGTGACATGTTTGTGTACAGGTTGGCTTGTATTGATGCTCAAATCTTAGCTAAAAGTTATTTTCTATCTACTTCTTGTGTGGGTAGACTGTAACACACAGAGAACCCTGCAATACTCCAATAAACCAACAGATTTTGGCTGTGAAGATACATGATGATAATTTTATTTAACTATTAACTTTCTGTATTTTTGAATTTTGTTATTAGAAAATAAGATAAAACTATGAATTTTACTTTTAGATGTTGCTTTAGATGTTACAGTAAGATAGGAGTGCTTCATTAAGTTTTTCATTCACAAAAGAATGCAAACATCACTTCCTGCTTCCTCAGATGGCCCCACCTCCTTTTCACCAGTGGATCAAACTGAAATAATGACTGTATGTTGGAGCTATTTCTTCTTTATTCTTCTGTAGAATTTAGTTAAATATTTTGGTTATTGTTGGTTTATTTGTAGGTTCACTCATTCACTGCCAGACGTTTCCTGATCGCTAACGGCCTTCACTGCCAGCATTTCTCACCGTTTTTACTGTTTTTTTAAGAGTCACAGAACGTTGCGCGCTAGGATGATGTCGACGCCAAAACAACCAAAACAAAGAGGAGACTCACCTCTTACATCAGGAAGAAGCCGCGTGTTTCGTGCGTTATCTGTTCTTTCATAATCCGTTGTCGAATTGTGATCGGCAGACGCTTTTCCGGTTCGCACCTCACTCTTTTTTACAGGAACGGCCCAAAACGATCTCCTAACACATGGATGTTCTGCTTCCTGATCATGTGACATGTGACGTATGCAGATGAAGATCGACTTCAGGGCTGAGATGTTTGTTCTCTCAGCGCAAGGGCTCGTTCTGATGCTCAAACAGTAAAAAAAATGCAAATGACGACTTAAGTCGTCAATGGCAGTGAATTAGTTAATCATTAAAAATATATATATTTTTTGCCTTTGAGAATCAGCCAAGAAGAACGGAGGGATTTGGTTTTCTACAAAAACAAGGACTGGTGTTGGACCAGTGTGCACTGGGTTGGGCGTGTTTTTTGCCAGGGCAGGTGAAGCAGCGGGAAATAAAACAAAAAAACAATATATTTGTATTATTTCTTGTCAAGCTGGATAAATAAACCATCAAAAATGCAACATTCATATATATATATATATATATATATACAGTATATGTATTATTTGTATTTGTGCCATTTTACCTTTCAATCGTGTTTTTTGTCACAGTGAACTCGACTGCTGTTTCATGTTGCAGCAAAATAATGACAATTAAAACAAACAGGAAGAGTTGGTTTCCATTCAAAAGGGGTCAGTCGTTAAACAAGAGCCTGTTACCCAAATGTGTTGCCCCAGTCTTCTAAAGTTGATGTGACAAATTTAAAATATTCAGAAACAATTTTATATTCATTAAGCTTCTGCTGCATTTTCCATCAGTCCTGTTTATCCCTTTCCGTTTTTTTCTCAGAGCTGATTTTATGTTTTCACACCTGACTTGAGACCGGTCATATTTATGTCTTGTTTTTCTCTTTGTGGAAGGATGTGGAGAAGAAGCGCCACTTGCGGACGGAGTTCAGCCAGGAGGAAATCCAGCAGAAGATTGGGAAGTACAACTCGATGACCAAAGATCACCTCAAGATGACGCTGGTGGGTAGAACGCTGGTGTGGTTGAGCCACGGTGCTGACACAAAGAAATCAGGTTTTATGTCATGTAAAGATAAAATTCAATTCCATTCAATTTTATTTATATAGCGCCAAATCACGACAAGAGTCGTCTCAAGGCACTTCACATAATACACAATTCAGGTCAGTTCATTAAGCCAATCAGAAATAATGTTCCCTATATAAGGAACCCAGCAGGTTGCATCGAGTCACTGACTAGTGTCAGTTAAACTTTATTGTATTTATCCTAGAGGATCTATAATTAAACGGGTAAACTAGTAGTAGCACATCCAACGTCAAGGAAAGCAAAAAGTTATTATCAGGAGAGGGAGAATGTTTAAGTGGTTAGCAGCAGTGTGCTAGTCGATGGCCCCCTCCATGAGGCCACCACAGCTCAGCAGAACATCGTTGTAGCTTCTTCTGGGGAGAAAAACACTTAGAGAGAAAATAAAGTTAACAGCTGAAATAGCAGGAAATAATACAGTTAAAGAGCAGATTGTAGAAGAAAGCAGTAGAGTGTGGAAAGTGGTCAGTGTATCCTCCAGCAGTCTAAGCCTATAGCAGCATAACTACAGAGATAACTCTGGATAATCTATCCTATTTAGATGGAGGCATGTTGGAGGCAGGGCAAGGGAGAGCCGTGTTTACCGACTGTACACTCCACCTCCCTGTAATCCCCCACTTGTCCAGATTTAGGCTAACATCAGATTTTAACTATAGGCCCTATCAAATAAAAATGTTTTAAGCCTAGTCTTAAAAGTAGACAAAGTGTCTGCCTCACGGACTAAAAGTCTACGGGAAGTTGGTTAAAATTATTCTCATTAGGGATGCACCGATGGATCGGCATTTGATCGTAATCGGCCGATAGCGCCCCTATCGGTTTTGATCGGAATTTTCAAAATCGATCAAAGCAGACCGATCAGGTAGGGTTGTCACGGTAACCAGTGTAGCGGTAAACCCCGGTAAAAAAAAAGAAAGTTGACAATAATAACCGTCTTGTTTTTTTAAAAAACTATATTATCTCGGTGGATTACCGTGGCTGCGGTGTAGGCGCGGTGACCCTTACCAGCCACCGTATCATCTGCTGAAGTTGCCGGCGGCACATGCACACTTTGCTGTTTACAACCAAAACTTTCTTGAAGCTAAAGCTGAAATAATGGCCAAAGGAGGAGACGGCAGCGCTCAGGACATTTTTTATCCCTCAAAGAAGACAAAGTGGGAAGTACGGGCATCTTTTGGATATTTGAAGAATGCCGAGGGACAGTTGATAGAAGACGGCTATCCTGTTTGCAGCACGAGCAGAAAAAGAGTCTGTGAAAGGCAGCAACGCTTCAAATCTCATGACACATCTGCGTGGCCATCACCCACAACTCTACAGTCAACGCAAGGCAAGCTAACGTTAGCGTTTTAGCTAAAATGCGTGATCCGAGGATTTGGGTTGAGGGAGAATGCAACGAGTCGCTATATAAAGCAGCCGCAGCGCCGCTACCTGCATATAAACCGTGTCGCGGACACCGCCATGTTGAAATGACGCTATGCATTACGGGGCTCCCAGGGGCAGATAAGAGTTGGTCTCTCTCCGAGAATAATTATGAATTTAACAACGATTACTGCCTGATGACATTTTCCCACATCTGCAAAGCTCACTGGAAGGACACAAACCGAGGACAATATTTTCCTGATATAGGGTTTATTACTCAAGTAAGGGTAAAAAAGTATCTGATTAGAAGTATACTTGAGTACTGAGTATCATCTGATTGAATACTTTTAAAATGATGACATCAAACAGACATAAAATAAGAAGTTATGGGCAAATATTGGTATTTTAAAGACTAAAGGGGAAAAAATGTAAACAAATAAACAACATAATTACAAAATAACACATTTTAGGCAAAATTTAGACACAAACTGAGGACAATATTTCCTGACATACAGGGTTTATTTAATTGTGTGAAAATGTAGCACGTTTAAAAAAATACCGCGATTATACCGAAAACCGTGGTAATTTTGGTCACAATAACCGTGAGGTTAAATTTTCACACCGTGACAACCCTAATACAGACCATTTTAGATTAGGTTACATTTCCTTTATTCCCAGATTATGTAGTTTGTAGCACTCATTATAATGTTGTAGAAAATTTCTGGCCAATCCACGTGATCGGTATCTGTGATCGGTATCTGTGATCGGCAGCAAAAAACCTGATCGGTGTATCCCTAATTCTCATCAAAGTTTTCTTCACAAGGCAAACAGTCTCTTTATTATGTAACCTTTATTTAACCAGATGAGTCGATTGAGAACTCGTTCTCATTTACAGCGGCGATCTGGCCAAGAGGCAGCAGCAACAGACACATGGTTAGCTTTACAGATAAAAATACGATACAACAGTTAAAGGTGAAGGACTGTTCTCATGAATAATATGTACAAGCAATCAAAACGGACTTAAAACAGTATTTAAGAACTCAGAAGCACATTAATCAGAAACTATTGACCGTAATGAATTATGATAATAGAATGTAGGCAGTGAGCTTCAGTGGTTTTTGCAGCTCATTCCCGTCGTTGGAAGCAGCCAACTGGAATGAGGAGCGACCAAAGGAGGTGTGAGCTTTGGGAATAACCTTAGAGATGAAGTTACTGGAAGGTAAATTGTGCTGGTTGTAGGAAGTGATGAGTAATGAGCGAAGATATGACGGTTCTACCGATGATTGTTTTGTATAAGAACTGATACCGATGTAACGTCCTGCTGGAATGGAGTGATGGCCAGTTAACGAGTGAGTACAGATCACAATGATGAGTCGTGAAAGGGGCACCAGTGATGAAACGGATGGCTGAGTGCTAAATGACATTTAGTTTATTTGGAAGCAGTTCTATACATGATGTCACCGTAATCTAAGATGGAAGGATTCTCGTTTTGACCAAGGTTTGCTTTGCAGAATGAGTAAAGGATGACCTGTTGCCATAGAAACCCAGTTCTTGACTGACTTTAGAAAGTCTTCAGACAGACTTATTTTTGCTGAAGTAAGGAATGAAGCTTCCTTTTCGTTATGCTTGTCTGTGATTTTCCACAGTCGTATATTTTTACCACAAAAACCTCCATTATGAGATTCAGTGGGGGCGGCAGTAGCTCAACAGGTATCCAGGTGTCCAGTAATCGGAAGGTTGCAGGTTCGAACCCCGCTCAGTCTGTCGCTGTCGTTGTGTCCTTGGGCAAGACACTTAACCCACCTTGCCTGCTGGTGGTGGTCGGAGGGACCGGTGGCGCCAGTGCTCGGCAGCCTCGCCTCTGTCAGTGCGCCCCAGGGCAGCTGTGGCTACACCGTAGCTCATCCCCACCAGTGTGTGAATGTGTGTGTGAATGGGTGAATGATACTCTGTAGTGTAAAGCGCTTTGGAGTCCTTACTCTGAGAGGCGCTGTACACGTGCGGGTCATTTATCATTAGTTCTGTGTTATTAGTAGTATTCCTGCTTAGTTTGATTGTTTATTCATTACTGACGCCTCCATGTTTGGGTTTTAAACAGCTGGAAACAGAATTTCACATCATGTTTGGATGTGACAATTAAAAACTGTTTGGTTTTAAATGAAACACCAGGATTTAGTCCTAGTGCAGATGTGCTTATATGTCAGCATTTATTCAGCTTCTTTCCAGCTCGCAGCATTCCTGAGCGCTCTGATCAGCGTGATGCTATTCCTGCCATTGTTCTCCCCCGCAGTGTTTTCCTTGGCAGCGCTCGAGGCTGTGCGCACTGTAATTCCAGATAAGAAGCTGCAGAAATCTGGTGTTTTATAGGAAGTTGTGCAGCACCAAATAAATAAAAATAAATAACTATCATCTTATCGTTTATGATGCAGAATGACAAAAAGATGTATCTCAGGCTTTTGGATGTTCATAAAGTGGCAAACGAGGTCTTTTTGGTTAAGTCCTGGAGGAAAATATGGTCCGGTCCAGTTTGTGCAGCACCAAGTTAGATGTATAACGGACATGAAACAACAGTAAAAACGGATAATAAAATCCGTTCTGCACTGAAACTAAATCAAATAAAACTCGCTTAACAACTTTGTAAAGTTTTAGTTTCGTCTGTTTTTATTTAATTTGCTTATTTTTGTCACTAGAAAACAACGATGATTTTTTTAGTTGACCATCTAAACGGGTTCAGGAGATAAAAGCTACCATGACGACATTTTGACTCTCATCTTTGATCTGTTGATGCGAGCTAGTTTACAAATCAGACCCCTTATCCTCCCTCCAGAAGGTCATTATGCTCTCTGATGTTCGATCACATGACATCCACAGTTAAGGGCTCCTCGGATGAGAACTCCAGGATTTTTGTTCCCAGGAAGTCTGAGAACCGTCACCAGAGTTTGAATTTTCTCTCTTATATAACGAAGAAAAGCAGCTGAGAAGTTTTAGTTCTTGAGTCGGTTAAGAGACGCTTTGTGCTTTCTGATTCTTACCAACTGGTCAAAATTTCATCTGAGATGACTTGTTTGACTCGCTCCGATTGATGTTTCGTTGTCTACTTGGGACGATCACAAGCCTGCCTCCTCTGGGTTCCATGTGGAGTCAGGAGATTGAGATGCCCCGCCTCCGTCTGGGACCATCTGTCCCGTAGGAGGCATTGGGGTCACTGGGTGAACTGGTCACAGATCAGTGGCGTGTCCAGATCTTTTATAACGGGGTGGCCCAGGTGAGGCACAACTTTGTGCATGGGTGGCACCATTGGTTATGCTTTTTTTTTTTTGTTTTACCCCCAAGCCTTTTGTGGACAATGAAAAGCCTGTTTAAAGGTAAATTAGTGCGTTGGCACCTGGGGTGGCCAATCAGATTCCAAGGGTGGCATGTGCCACCCCAGGCCGCTCCCTGGACACGCCCCTGTCACAGATGGAGCTCTTATAGTTCAGCTTCTTTAAGTAACATGTATGTAGGGTTAAATGTGTGGAAGCACAATAATGAAGAACAAAACAGTAAATAACTCAAATATGGAGTTGTAACTGTGTGTGTGTGTGTTTTTCAGAATCCCACTGGTGTGTACACTGGTTTCATCAAAGTCACGATGGATTTGCGGAGGCCGGTGACGGTGCGAGGGGGTCAGAAAGGTCCAGGAGTAGCCGTGATGCAGGAGGCCTTCTATCTGCCCCGCGGAGTCATCAACACCCTCCACATTAGCTCGGAGAACACTGTCAAACAGGTGGCGAACCCACGAAAACACACATCAGCTCGGTTTGAACCTCACAGCCAGCTGGAGAAGCTAATTAGGATGTGGTGACACACTGGATGAACTCGGGGAGGGGTTAGGGTGGGTTCATCTGCTCTGCAGGCACAGAAAGATCAGATATGTATTTGGCAGCTGCTGCTTGCTGGAGCTCTTGAAATTGGATGGGGAAAAATACACCGTCGTCACCATGGCAACCTGAACTCTTATCATCTCGTCCCTGTTTTGTTTGCACAGTTTGATGGATTCAGCTTCAGCAGGAGTCACACATATGAATCTGTTTTGTGTGTTCAGGTGATCGTCGCCCTGTTGAACAAGTTTACCGTAGCAGACAACCCGGCGAAGTACGCCCTGTACAAGCGCTACCGCCGAGAGGAGCAGGGTAAGTCTCTGCCGGTATCCACGGCGACGCGGCCTCATGCCGCTCATGCCTCTCTCATGTGGGACGCTTTGGCACCGGCACAATAACCCCGGCATCTCTGTGTGTCCGTGTGAAGGCCTCACCCTCGTCTTCACGATGACACCAGGGATACCCAGGAATACACACACACACACACACACACACACACACACACACACACACACACACACAGAGGGTAAATCAGCAGCTGCTGCAGGATTTCACAGATTAAGTTTCAGTCTAGTTGAGCATTCAGAGAGGAGACACTCCATCAGCCACAGACGTTAATTTAAACTTAAAAACAGCAATAAAACCCTCCGTTTGAAGTCATTTCATCGCCGAATACTTGTTTTCGCTCTCGTCTGGTTTAGTTTGCATGGGTTACTGCCGGCTAATTGGAGTTGGCGTCTAGACACGGGTCTGACAGCAGATGTAAAGCTTTTATTTGGCTTTTTTATGAGGAAAACGCTGTTTTCTGTTGAACTTTGGTGTGGACGTATCTTCTTCTTCCTGAGGGATTGTATTGTTGACGTCTTTAAAACGGCTCAAATCTGCTAAATTTCACAACACTTCATGCGACGATGGTTTTCTAAACTTTTATACTGCTGCTGGTTTTGCTTTTCACGGTTATTTAGTCTTCTGTGCAAAAAATCACTAGCATCAACAAAACCTAGTGTCACGAGGGCAGTTTTCAAACTATAAACGGAGAAAAATTCAACAGAAACACCCAAACGTGTTGCTCTGATTGAAGTTGCACATCTCCACAATCTATGCATGCACTGTCTGGCCACTTTAATAATAATAATAATAATAATACATTTCATTTGCACTGCGCTTTACGTTAAAAATCTCAAAGCGCTTGCAGAAAAAATAAAAATAAATTGGGAACACCTTGCTAGTACCAGGTTGGACCCCCCTTTGCCTTCAGAACTGCCTTAATCCTTCGTGGCATAGATTCAGCAAGCTACTGGAAACATTCCTCAGGAATTCTGATCCATCGTCAGACCAGCCAACATTTTTCCAATCCTCTGTTGTCCATTTTTAGTGAGGCTGTGTGAATTGTAGCCTCAGTTTCCTGTTCTTAGCGGACAGGAGTGACACCTGGTGTGGTCTTCTGCTGCTGTAGCCCCTCTGCCTCAAGGTTCAACGTGTTGCTCTTTCAGAGATGCTCTTCTGTAGGGATGTGTATTAGATAGGGATGCACCGATGGATCGGCATTTGATCGTAATCGGCCGATAGCGCCCCTATCGGTTTTGATCGGAATTTTCAAAATGGATCAAAGCAAACCGATCAGGTAGGGTTGTCACGGTAACCGGTGTAGCGGTAAACCCCGGTAAAAAAAAGTTGACAATAATAATAACCGTCTTGTTTTTTAAAAAACTATATTATCTTGGTGGATTACCGTGGCTGCGGTGTAGGCGCGGTGACCCTTACCAGCCACCGTATCATCGGCTGAAGTTGCCGGCGGCACATGCGCGCTTTGTTGTTTACAACAAAACTTTCTTGAAGCTAAAGCTGAAATAATGGTCAAAGGAGGAGACGGCAGCGCTCAGGACATTTATTATCCCTCAAAGAAGACAAAGTCGGAAGCACGGGCATATTTTAGATATTTGAAGAATGCCGAGGGACAGCTGATAGAAGACGGCTATCCTGTTTGCAGCACGTGCAGAAAAAGTGTCTGTGAAAGGCAGCAACGCTTCAAATCTCATGACACATCTGCGTGACCATCACCCACAACTCTACAGTCAACGCAAGGCAAGCTAACGTTAGCGCTTTAGCTAAAATGCGTGATCCGAGGATTTGGGTTGAGGGAGAATGCAACGAGTCGCTATATAAAGCAGCCGCAGCGCCGCTACCTGCATATAAACCGTGTCGCGGACACCGCCATGTTGAAATGACGCTATGCATTACGGGGCTCCCAGGGGCAGATAAGAGTTGGTCTCTCTCCGAGAATAATTATGAATTTAACAACGATTACTGCCTGATGACATTTTCCCACATCTGCAAAGCTCACTGGAAGGACACAAACCGAGGACAATATTTTCCTGATACAGGGTTTATTACTCAAGTAAGGGTAAAAAAGTATCTGATTAGAAGTATACTTGAGTACTGAGTATCATCTGGTCTAATATTTTTAAAATGATGACATCAAACAGACATAAAATAAGAAGTTATGGGCAAATATTGGTATTTTAAAGACTAAAGGGGAAAAAATGTAAACAAATAAACAACATAATTACAAAATAACACATTTTAGGCAAAATTTAGACACAAACTGAGGACAATATTTCCTGACATACAGGGTTTATTTAATTGTGTGAAAATGTAGCAAGTTTAAAAAAAATACCGCGATAATACCGAAAACCGTGGTAATTTTGGTCACAATAACCGTGAGGTTAAATTTTCACACCGTGACGACCCTAATACAGACCATTTTAGATTAGGTTACATTTCCTTTATTCCCAGATTATGTAGTTTGTAGCACTCATTATAATGTTGTAGAAAATTTCTGGCCAATCCACGTGATCGGTATCGGTGATCGGCATTCTTTGATATCGGTATCGGTGATCGGCAGCAAAAAACCTGATCGGTGCATCCCTAGTATTAGAGGATGTTTGGGCGATACAGTTCGTACCTCGATACGGGGAGACGATACGGTCTGTCACGGTATATTGCGACGCATTCAGTCAGGACGTTATTAGGGATTTTTTTAGACTGAATTTACTGTAGGAAAATTTAATAAACTGTCCAAACTGATACTTACAGTAACATGAGGTATCTGAACCATAATAGAAGGATTTACATTTGAATGGTGGAAACAAAACCCGTTGTACACTGCTGCCAACTAGCGGTCGGCGTTTGAATTGCACCAAAAGAAAAATTAATACAAATGTTTGCATGTAAATTCTTCCAAAAATGAGATTAACGGCTTTTGAATGTCGATATAAAATTGCAGGACAAAAATATGGTGATATTTTGCCATATTGATATTTTCTAACATCCCTACTCTTCTGCCCACCTTGGTTTTAACGAGTAGTTATGTGACCTTTCTACCAGCTCGAACCAGTCTGGCCATTCTCCTCTGACCTCTGGCATCAACGCCAGCAGAACTGCTGCTCACTGGATGTTTCCCTTTTTTGGACCATTCTCTGTAAACCCTAGAGATGGTTGTGTGTGACAATCCCAGCAGGTCTGCAGTTTCTGAGATACTCAGACCAGCCCGTCTGGCACCAACAACCATGTCGTGTTCAGGGTCACTTAGATCACCCTTCTTCCCCGTTCTTAAGCTCGGTTTGAACTGCAGCGGATCGTCTCGACCATGTCTTCATGCCTAAAGGTGTTGAGTTGCCACCGTGTGATTGGCTGATTAGTCATTTATGTTAACGAGCAGTTGGACAGGTGAACCCAATTAAGTGGTGTGCATGTGTGTGTGTGTGTGTGTGTGTGTGTTACTACAAGTTGGGATTAATTTGAGATGATTTTAAGTAAGATTCACCCCACCTGGGCTCACCATACCAGCCTGCAGAGGCGTGACCAAGTCACAAGTTTTTCCAGTCGAATCTCGAGTCTAGTCAAGACAAAGTCAAAGAGAATCAAGTCCAAAGTCAATGATGTGGAAGTCCAAGTCAAGTCCAAGTCCTTAACTTTTAATTTTCAAGTCATAATCAAGTCATCTCTCCAACTTCTATTTAATGACGATGATAATAAATAAATTGCTTCATTTATTTGCTCAAACAGCTGAAAGTGCAACTGAAACAAAGTTCTGCTGCATTTAATAGTAAATCAAACCCAGAACCAAGAATGTCTGTGAAGGTTCTCAGTCATCCAGGTCATTGTAGTCTAATGAGCTTTGAAAGAAAAGCGTCTGGACTTCTTTGAGTTGCTTGGAGACGTTTCACCTCTCATCCGAGAGGCTTCTTCAGTTCTAAGGTCAAATGGTGGAGAGTCCCAGATTCAAACCCAGTGGGAGTTTCCCCCCGAAGAGGGAACAAAAGACCCCCTGATGATCTTCTACAAGCAACTCAAAGAAGTCCAGACGCTTTTCTTTCAAAGCTCATTAGACCAGAACCAAGAATCATTTATGATTTTTGTCCACGTCGGGCCACTTTTGTGCTAAAATATCAGATATGCTCAAGTCATAATGAAGTCAACAGATGCAAGTCAATTCAAGTCGCAAGTCATTGGCGTTCAAGTCCGAGTCAAGTCGTAAGTCTTTATAGATTTTATCAAGTCAAGTCAGAAGTTATTAAAATAATGACTCAAGTCCAAGTCATGTGACTCGAGTCCACACCTCTGCCAGACTGGACCTGACAAACCTTTTTATGGTTCTGATCAAAAGAGTTTAAGGACTCTTGTAAATTACAGAGTGTTGACGAGCTGCTGCTGCTCGTCCTTTCAGCTTTCTCTTGTGTGTGTTGATGTGAACACCGTGTAGAAACGTGCACGTGTGTGTGTGTGTTCTGCAGTGTACGTGTGCAAGCTGGCAGATGGCGAGAAGCCGTTGTTTCTGCGTCTGTTGGCGGGACCCAACTCAGACGTTCTCAGCTTCGTTCTGAGGGAGCAGCAGACCGGAGAAGTGATGGTAAAGTGGATTTATCCCTGGAGTAAGTTCATGAACAAACTACTTCTGCTTCATCCGGGTTTGATCTCTCCTTTTCTCCTCAGTGGGACGCCTTCTCCATCCCAGAGCTGTGCAACTTCCTGAAAATACTCGACAAAGAGGAGGAGGAGCAGAAGGAGGCGATAGTTCGTCGTTACGGAGCGTACAGACAGAGACTCGAGGAGGCTCTGAGGGAGGTTAGAGGACCTTAGAGGATTGAGTTTTTGTGAAACAGGACCGCTGCTCCTCACAGAGACACACGAGGTGCTTTTACTCCACTCTGTCCTCCTCGTTGGAGAAATGTGATTTATTTTTTTTGGGTGGAGGGAGGATGTAAAGCAGAGGAGGAACGGAGGATGGAGAAGAGGACAAGAAAAAGTGATGAGGACTCATGAAGGACAGATAACAGAATGAATGGACAGGATTGTTAAACCGCCTGCAGACACCAAAGATTCATCAGCTGTGCCATATTCAGTCATTCATTCATCTGATATTTTCATCCATCCATCCTTCTCTTCTTTCTTTTCTGCAGTCACATCTGATTCCTCTTTCATGTTTTAATCTAGTCAAATTGCCATATTTTGTTTTGTTTTTTAATTCAATCCTTTTTTCTTTTAACAGTTTGTACATATTTTTTCCTAATTTATATGGGTGAAGCTTTATATAATTTTTGTCTTTTTTTCAGAAGTCTTATTTTACTATAAAATAAACTGTTTTTGACACAGAGAATATGCTGTGAAAACCTTTAATCGAGGCATTGATACAGACAACAAGACGATGTGCGGGTTCTTGCTGGTTTTTATCAGATTTTGCAGAATAAAAAATGAGTCAGAAAATTTAATTTCAATTTATAATTTCAGTTACAGAAGTTGACAAAGTTTTATAGTTGATTCATTTCTCTTTAATAACTGGAAAGCTGTGGAATATTTATGGTTTAAGGGGATTAATTAACATGTATGGAGTACCAAATGTGCCAAATTTATTTTATTTTTCCTTGTAATCAGAACGCTTATTTGTTCTAAATGTCTGCAACTTTATTAGCATAAACTATAAGATATTTTTAATTAAGATAAAGATCCTGATGCATTAAAAACTAGGGGCTTTAAATAAATAGTATTTTTATTACATGTTTTCATTTTGGTCATTTGTATAATTTTTTTTAATTATTTATAAAAATTGTAATTTCTTATATAATATTTTTATCATATCTTGTTTTCATTACTGAAAGATCATTGGCTTTTTTTCCATCCACCATCTCAGTAACAGTTTGTCTACGTTTTCGTATGTATGGATTATAGAACTATATTTAGAATAATTGTCATTTATGTTTTAATGTGTTCGTTGACATCTTAGCGGCATATTAGTTTTGGCACATTTCTGACTCCATAAATGTCAGTTTGAAGTTTAATCAAAGTGAAAAAGGTACAAAAACATCACATTTTGGTTTAAATGTGTCTTAAAACCCAGATTTTAAATGTGGATACTGGCACGTGGTGAGCAAGGTTGATGTGCAAAGATGGTCAGAGCACCAAGAGTTAGTTTTAAGTGGTTGGATGGAAGGTGTTGACGTGGTTTTAGTAAGCGTGACCCAGAGGAAGGAGGTGTTACTGGTTTTCTGGAAGTCCTCAGAGCGATTTAGAGGAGGAACATTAGATCTAAGAAAGACAAAAAGCAGAATAAATGTTGTCATTGTGGCCTTGAGGATGGGATCCTACACTCATGGAGGCTCCTTTAGTTTTTATCTGAGAGGACAGGAGGTCTGTGAGTTCAGATAGCTGCTGAGAACAGTGAGCAAAAGTGGCTGCATTGTCCTGCTTGCTGTTTAGTCTGCTCTGTCTGAAGCGCACATTGTCTGAACCCTTATCTGGGTTTCTGCTGCATGAAAGGAGATGTTCCAGAGGAAGTGCAAAGGAAGATTTCAGCTAGTGAACAAGAAGGTGCAAAAGTTCAGTTTTTGTGCAGCTGGATGTGGCTGCAACTAAATACACAAATATATGCATTTCACTACATATGTTGTTGTTTACTTTGTAAAGAATGTTGCTTTATAGTAAAAAAAAATCTGCCTTTTGGGCATTTTGTCAGCATATAATTAGATATTCGAGAAAACCGCTGTGATTCTGTCAAAGTGAAGAGTAGGACAATCATTTAGGAATAAACCAAACTGTTGGATATTTGAGAGTTAATGAGAATGTTGTTTGTGCTGCTGCTGCTGAATGATGATGAACTGATGGTGGTGCAGTACGGCTGTCCAATGTCGCCCTCTAGTGGTCTAAAATAGCAACTACTTTCTCTGTGTCAAACGTGCATCGTTTCTGATCTTTTTGTTTGCTAAAACCAAAGATATTTTTGTTTTGTTGCCTGGAGCAAAATGAAACGAGAAGCCTCTTCCCGAATGGAGGATAAATACATGTTTAGAGTTTTATTCAACCTGGATTTATTCTATCAAACACTGGGTTCGTTTTATGGGAGCAAAACTTGCAATGATTTGACTCCCAACAAGCAGCTGAATGGAAATGGCTAATGATGAAGCCATGTTGTTGTTGTTGTTGTTTGTGGATTTTATAAACAACTGAAGGCTGCTTGTGTCAACGTGGGGATTTTGGGGGCACTTTAAGGAAGATGGCAGGATTTAGATTTTAATTTTTCTGCTCTACTGTCATGCTGTACTTTATTTTTGTTTACACAATGATCTGATTTACCGAGCCTCGCGTTTAGCTTCACGCTGTTCTGGTGTCGCTAACGTGAGTGACGGAGCGTTTTTATTTCCTTTTTTGTTCAAATGTATCTGTGAAATGTTTGTCTGTTTCTGGAACACGCCGACTTCTGGGCAGTTCAGCTTAAAGTAAAGAAAATCAGATGTTTGGAAAATCGTTCTGGGTCGTTATTGTTTGGAAAAACTCTCCGGAGCTGTCGGTGACGCTGATGTGAAACAGATCATTTACGGTTTTGTTATTAAAACCTTTAAGCCATTAGATTAACTAAAATATTTTTATGGTACAAGCTCAACTGTGAGTAAAACACAATATCCAGTTAGAAATATTATATTTGGTAAAAATGTGTTGTTGATGCATAAAAACTTTAACCCACAATTTAGAAATTATATATATTTAATAGAAGTGACGCAAAGAGACGATGTGACTTTTTTATAGTAACATGTTTAATTGTGTCCACGATCATTCAGGTTTTTAAATCGGACTTAAAGAAGGTGGATGTAGCACACCTGAAGCAACACGACGGGTTCGACCGGGAGGGAAAACGAGCAATTCGGAGGAAATTCTTCATCAGTTTGTGTAAAATTAGCAATCCTCGTAGTTGATTTCATCTTAAGCGAGACTGAACAGCATCAGCTTTAATTTCATGATGAAGAGCAGATGTGGCCAAACGGCTCCGTGCCCTCTGATGTTTTGACTTTATTAGCCTCAGGCTGAACATGTGGAAAAGCAGGGATCGTCAGATTCATGCCACATGTGATTCTTTGATGGGGTTAGGTTAAAAAAAGTTTTTTCCATCTCATGTTGGAATGAATGGCAGCGACAGAAGAGTGGATTCATGTCCGGAGCTCCAGCCGTGCCTTGCTGATATTTAACCACACAAATAAAACCTGAAGATGATTTCTGTGTCTTTTCTCTCCGTCTTTTCCTTTTAGGGGTTTTGTTTGCATCCAAGGAGAGTTCAGCTGTTTAAACAGGGAAACAAAATATTTTAATGTTAGTTTGATCTAATGTATTCTTTAGGTTTTAGTAAGGTGTAAAATGTTCTCGGATGGTTTATTTTTTCAAGTGCTAACAGAACCAGACTTTGTTTTCTTCCTCTACTTTTCTACAGAAGCAAAAGTTCATCCCTGCCTCTTCTTTAAGTACCGGTCAGAGTGATTTTAATGGGTTCACTCAGTGAATTGTTGGTGATCCGAGGTTGTTGGCACGAGTCCCGTTTGGACCAGATGCTGCAGCTCCCCCCCACCTGCCCCCGGTTTGACCCCAGTTCCTCTGGTGTTGCTCAACTCTCAAATCCTGCAACACGTCAAGCTTTAAACACATAAACCAGATGTGCTGTCAAAGTAAAAGTTTGGAGTGGACGGTTTGACCTTTCAGTGGTTGCTGGCTCTTTTAATTCGAGACTGATGTCATTTTTTTACTTTTAGATAACACTTTAACTAGATGAGCTGAGATGCAAGTTAAGCCTAATTTATAATTCTCCGTCCATCTGCGTCGGTGGGGAGACACACAACGCCGTTGTGTGTCGGAAACAGCTCTCCGACGGGCTCGCAGAGGGAAACGGGGGAGTCCGAGAGCAATGTCTCTGCCAATTCGTGTCTCTTCCTCGCGAAGCCGATGGAGAAGTATAAATCAGACAAACGCGCTTCAAAGCTACTTTAGTTTGAAGGGCTATACCGGAAATGCTGTTTTCCGGTTGCGTTAGCTTCACGGTTCTTATGCAGCACGTCTTCCGTCCGCATCTCCTCACACCTGACGCTCATCTGGGGCTTTGTCCAAGAGCATCTGGCTGCAGACATCAGCTGGCGTCTTTGCCGTGACAGGAAATGACGTATCCGGAAAAATGTGTCATTACCTTCGCCGGAAGTCATTACCTTTGCCGGAAGTAGTTTTTTTCGGAAGTCATTACCTTTGCCGGAAGTAGTTTTTTTTCTTGAATACACTTTATTGACAAAGCACAAAAGTAGTTTGAATTTGTCAAAACCATACTGTGTCGTTTTTCTCTTCGATTTGTACATATTTAAGATAAAAATTACACAGTGGGTCATTACCTTAACCAGAAGTAATTACTTTCACTGGAAGTAGTTTTTTAAAAAACAAAACTTACCGGAAAAAGATTTTTATTTCGGATTTTTTTTTTCTCTTCAGATCTGGACTGGCAAACTTAAGTAACGTTACCTGCGTTGCATGAAAATTGAATATTAAATCCCTTTGTCCTTCAGACAGGGAATTTCTATGACAGTAGCACATACATACAGTAGCACATACATACATACATACATACAGTAGCACATACATACATACATACATATATATATATATATATATATATATATGTATGTATACACACACACACAATAAAAGGCTGTAAAGTGAATTAAAAAAACATGGAAAAAATGAGAACACATTAAACTAAGACTTCAAAATGTGCAAACAAAATAGTACTTACTAAATATTCAGTTTTATTGTTAAGCCCAAGATGAACTTTTGACCTACACCAATTGCTAAAGTACAGGACTCCCAGAAGCAGTGAAAAACATTTCAGCAACACTCCTCTCTCACCAGCAACAAAAATTAGTTATTAAATATCCATAACACTGTCCTATTGTGTATCACAGCAGCTCATTGCAACAGAATTTAACTACTACAGTCTACAGCTGATAACTATTTAGCTAGTTGGCATTTATTTTGAGTGAAAGACAATAAAACCAAAGAAACACTTGATTTCACAACCATTTTATTTTGGGTACAAATGAATTTGCTGAAGCATGGCTTTCTCAGCTGCATATCGATTCATCCCCTCCCATTTTTCCAACACTTTTATTGTTACCTGAAAAACATGCAGGATTACTTCAACGTCGTCGTCTTCCTCCGCTTGTCCGGGTCGCGGGGGCAGCATCCCAACTAGGGAGCTCCAGATCGTCCTCTCCCCGGCCACCTCCACCAGCTCCTCCGGAAGGGACCCCAAGGCGTTCCCGGACCAGATTGGAGATGTAACCTCTCCAACGTGTCCTGGGTCGACCCGGGGGCCTCCTGCCGGCAGGACATGCCCGAAACACCTCCCCGGGGAGGCGTCCAGGAGGCATCCTGACCAGATGCCCAAACCACCTCAACTAGCTCCTTTCGATCCGGAGGAGCAGAGGTTCTACTCCGAGTCCCTCCCGGATGTCCGAGCTCCTCACCCCATCTCTAAGGCTGAGCCCGGCCACCCTACGGAGGAAACTCATTTTGGCCGCTTGTATCCACAATCTCGTTCTTTTGGTCATTACCCAAAGCTCATGACCATAGGTGAGGATTGGGACGTAGATCTACCGGTAAATCGAGAGCCTGGCTTTCTGGCTCAGCTCCCTCTTCACCACGACAGATTGGCTCTGCGTCCGCATCACTGCAGACGCTGAACCAATCCGCCTGTCGATCTCCCGATCCCTCCTACCGTCACTCGTGAACAAGACCCCGAGATACTTAAACTCCTCCACTTGAGGTAGGACCTCTCCCCCGACCCGGAGTTGGCAAGCCACCCTTTTATGGTCGAGAACCATGGATTTGGAGGTGCTGACCCTCATCCCAGCCGCTTCACACTCGGCCGCGAACCTACCCAGCAAGAGCTGAAGGGAGCAAGAGCTGAAGGTCAGAGCTGGGTGAAGCTAGGAGGACCACATCATCCGCAAAAAGCAGAGACGAGATTCTCCTGCCACCAAACTCTGTTAACGATTACTTCATACACTGTCAAATGTTTTCGAAAAGTAACTTTTATACCAATCACTGCTGAAGCCTGCGTTGTACCTCTGGAACAAGGACATCAAACACCAAGTCCAGAAACTGGAACTCTCTCTTCTTTATTAGTTCATCTATTCCTGAGCATAAACCAGTCCGCTCTGTCAGCTCGTCAACCTATAAAACACGTTAACATAAAAATGAACAAAACGTTCCTCTCAGCATTAGACAACGGACCCAGGTGGCCCACTGACCACGCATTCACATAAATAAATGTGATGCAGCTTATTGTAAGTCCGTATACATTTACCTGTGCATCAGCAAAGTGGAACATCAGTGGCTTTAGTCTTTGCTTTAATTTAAGCGAGACACCTGGATTGTGCCACAGATACATGAGGCCAGACTTCACTCCACCGCTGCAGAGATCCTTATACACAGTCTGAGTAGAGACAAGAGTTAAAAATAAGCAACATTACCACAGATAACAAGGGATTGCATTATCCTATGTCCAATTTTAGAGTCTTAATTTATTATAATTAAACATTACCTTGATTTCACCATCTGAAATCACTGCCTGGGTTCCATTTTTCAAAGCCTCGATTGTCCTGTAATATAGATAAAAATACATCTTATTAGCAAATGAAGAATACAAGCACATGTAAGGAGTTTTGTCTGTGTCACTTGAAGAAGTCCGATATTCATTTTAGATCTATTTTTAAGGCCTGTAACTCCTGAATGATTTGCAGCTACATGTGCTTAAATCCGGTAATATTAATATAAACCAAACCCGATCAAAGCAGTCAGTCGACAAAAATATCTATTTTTTATAAGGATAGGATTATTCTGAAACAGAATCAGATGGAGGGCGGCATTAATTAGAGAAGCGGCTACTATTTCAAAGTTATTGTACCTGTTGCAGGACACCTGATTTGTGCAACCACAGCTGAATGACCCAGCACACAACACACAATAACTGAAAAATATTTAGAGATATTGAAAGCTAAGCTTGTCCAGAAAATACATTTTATTTCTGGGTGCACAGGACCAGTTCCAGTGTGGGCCAGATGCTGAAAAATAAATTCATAAATCTGTCTTTTTGAAGTTTCACAAATCAGAGGAAGGTTTCACAAATCACAAACTATGTTTAATGCATTCCTACGAGCCCAGAATAATCTAAAACAGGTTTGAAGAGTGTATGTATTGTAGGTTTTGAGCTAGAGCAGAATAAAAATGGTCAGAGTAGAGAAAGATTGGGTGTATTAGACCTTTAGCCATTTCCTGAATCGGAAGCTAACTTTAGCCTCGTATGAAAACTAGTGAATGAAACCACTTACAAATCTCTGAAAATCTACGCTTTTTAATAAAAAAAGGGTATTAATAACGTTTCAGTCAAGTCAGTATTAGAAATCGTGGTCTTTATATCATATCTAAATTATATATAAAGTTAATATTATTACTTTAACTGTTTTAACAAACAGGGATACCAGAAAAATCAAATAGCTAAGTTAAAGCTAAGCTACAATTGCTGATAGCTTTATTATGTAGCTTTTGTGTTAGCTAGCTTGTGATCTCCCTGCATTCGTTTTAAGACTGCGTGTTAATATTGATACGATTAGCTATGAAACACGGTGCCTTTGCAATAATTCTCTGGTAAAGCTTTAAACGCTACAGTGCCTACATTTAAGAACTAAGAACGGTTGCAACAATTAGTTAATTTCATCCTTATCCTTCTTTCTTTATCTATCATCCTTATCCTTACCTTTCCTCAATTGAAACCCGCCGAGTATGGTTGAAACAAAAACAATTAGCGGCCGCCAAAAAAAGACCAACTTCCTGCCGAGGTCTTTCGCTCGTCGATTTTCCGGTAAAAGTAATGACACGCCATCTTGCTCTTGACACACCAGCTGATGTCTGCAGCCAGGTCCTACTCGCTTTGTCGTGTCTAACTCGGATATGTAAGTTTGAAACTTTCCCGCTGTTGTTTCCCAGATTAAACCGTTTGGTGCACTTTAGCTCAGCTGACCTTTGAAGCTCTTAAACGTGCTCGTGCGCAAGTTGGAAGACGAGCAAAGATGTTTATGTTTATTTATTCAGCAGACGCTTTTATCCAAAGCGACTTACAGTTTATAACCTATAGGGCATGTTGTGATCTGTGGGGGAAACCGGAGTACCCGGAGGAAACCCACGCATGCATGGGGAGAACACGCAACTCCACGCAACTCCACGCAGAAAGGCCGCAGCCGAGTTTCGAACCTGCAACCTTCGTGCTGCGCGGCAACAGTGCTGCTAACAACTGCGCCACCATGCGTCTAGATGTAGCTAAATTCATAACGATTTTACTCCGCAAACCTAAACGCTTTCGAGACGTTAGCTGGTGGAGTTTTAGATTTAAAGCAACATTATTACGGTAACAGCGTTGCGCATGACTCTAAAGTTAATAAAACGAAGTAAATGCCAAGTTCAAGTCCCACAAGTTGGTGTGAAATTTGTTCTCTGGATTGGGTATCATTAAAGTGACTGTGTGTAATTTCCCTGGCGATAGGGGGCAGTACACACCTAAGTCATTGCAAGCATTATTTTTGTGTTCAAGTAAGACCTCACCAATGGATGGCCATTAGGGTCAAAAATCCCTGGGAGTGCAACCTCCAGCAAAAGCACATCAGACTCCCTTTCATCACAGGCGATGAGTGAAGAGGTAAATGTGTAAAACAAATTGTTTATTATTGTTGAACGTGTTGTAACCTTTTTTTTTTTTTTTTTTTTTTTTTTACAAATTATTAAATGTGTTTTGTCCTCTCGAGCTTCCATAGAGGGAAACATGGCATCCAAAATAGCATCACCCAGAGACTTAGTGTTTCTCAGTGTCAAGGCGCCTTGCTTACGAGGACACGGTCCTTCCTTGGTCAAAGAAAACGGTTAAATGGAACAGACTTGCATCACGTGACCATGACTTCCACGGCGGTTATGCAACGTTACGTGGCACAGGAGATAACGTTATATTTTATACGTATTCGTTTCAATATAAATATATAACAAGACTTTTACTTTTTAAATTGTGTATATGTTTATTAAATAAAAAGTGAGTTACTACCCACTAGCCAAAGAAGCTGCAACTACTAAGCAACTAGCCAACCATAGATGACCTCTTTTGATCTAAAAAAAAAAAAAAACTTTTTAAATTAGATGAATTACTTTAAAATTGGAAGATTGTCCCCGAAGTAGCTGCCGGCTTCTGATCCGCCATCCTTTTGAAAATACCGCGGTGTATTCTGGGTAATTTTTGACCAAGGCTAGTCTACAAGACACCTCCCATGTATTCTCGCTCAGCTAGCTAAACGGCTAACAAACTGAGAACACACGCCTCGGTAGAACATGAACATTGGAACTCGTCTTGGCGGCTCCTGGTGACGTATCTCCTAGGCGACCGGGGCGGGGCCAAGACATCAAGGCAATGTTCCTTGGCATTGAGAAACACCCTTAGACCCACTCCCATGTATTTTAAAACAGATTTTTATGGTTATATGTTATGAAACTGCCAGTATTTTCCAACAACTGGGCATCTTTTAAGTCATTTACAACAATTCATTTTTTCAATTCAAGTTTATTTATAAAGCGTCAAATCACGACAAGTCGTCTCAAGGCACTTCCCATAGTAAACGTTCCATTATAGGTCAGTTCATTAAGCCAGTCATTGAGGAGTTTCCTATCTAAGGAACCCTTATATAGGAAATAACATCGAAATGAACATTTCCAGAGATTAATGGTAAAAACTTGTTTCTAAAGGGTGCAGTAGGGCTGCTCGATTACGGCAAAAATAATAATCACGATTATTGTGACTGAAATTGAGATCACGATTATTTAAGACGATTTTTCAATTTATGTTGACTTTATTTGTTTTTATTCAGTCATAAAATTGCTCAGGGCACAATCAGGACAAAAATAAATAAGAAACAAGATGATCACTAAAAGAACTCCTGATTCCCAGTATAAAAAGACCAATATACTTATAGCTCATAGTTTATGACCCAAGCTATAGACCTTGGTTTAACTCATGTAAGTCTAACCAGTACAGACCCAAATACCAATATCTTGCAAATACTGACAGCGAGAATTATACAGTGGCATTTATAACAAATACATGCAAATAAATTGAAGTTCACAAAATGTTGCATAACATTTATTGAGCGGTGTCAAGGTGCTGTAGGAGCATGCACTAGCACCGTGTCCTCAGAGAGATTAGTTATTTATCAGCGTGAGGAAGTTATTTCCACCTTATTTATAAACTATTTATTTACAAGTCCATCAGTTAATGTAATAATTGTCCCAACCACTGCTGCACCCCCCACCCCCAACTCGGTCTCACAGCAATCAGGGGCAAGCTGCACCTGTGTTTAGCGCGCCGCACGCGCACATTTAGCCGTTTTTAGTGGCTCAGGAGCCCGCTTAGAGCCCTGCACTGAAGCCCTAGGCCCTCGGGCCAGCGACTGTGTCATTACCTCGGACACGGGGTGGGCGCCTTTATTTTTAATAGAATTCATAAAGAAAGATTGAAACACTTAAACCACGGGTCGGCAACCTGTTCCCATCAAAGAATCATTATTACCCATATCCCGAGCCACAGCAGCCGCAGCGTTGTGGGCGGGGCCTACAATCAGACAGCAGAGCGCTGCTCACAACAGGTGACAGCAGCCGGTACCAGTCGCTTGTGTACATCAGTTATCTTTCATAAGACGAGAATCAATAAAACGATTTATATAAAATGGATCCAGAAGTTGTAGCCCAATATACGATACATATCAATATTTTTCCCCATAAAATATTTAAGAGTTAACTCACTTCAAACTGTCTAGAGAAATTATATAAATAAATCAGTAGATTAAATGCATAACAATGTAATGATTCTTGTCAAACTTTACCCTTAGTGCCTATTCTCTGGTACAGCTGTCTGTTAACACACACACACACACACACACACACACACACACACACAGCTGAGAGCTAGAGGTGTATGAAATGTCTTAGGCACTTTTTAATTATATATTTATAATTAAAGACAAAGAGCAGCCCGAAGACCTCTTATGAGGAATTATATAAATGGAAACCGTGTTCTCTCGCCCAGAAGTGGGTCGTTGGGGCCCCCCTCTGGAGCCAGGCCTGGAGGTGGGGCACGTTGGCGAGCGCCTGGTGGCTGGGCTTTCATCCATGGAGCCCGGCCGGGCACAGCCCGAAGAGGAAATGTGGGTCCCCTTTCCCATGGGCTCACTACTCGTGGGAGGGGCCAAAGGGGTCGGTTGCAGTGTGTGACGGGTGGTAGTCCGACTAGATATAGTCGGACTCACCTCAACGCATGGCTCTGGCTCTGGAACCAGGTTCCTTGAGAGGGGTTGGACTTTCTACCACTCTGGAGTTGCTCCCACTGAGAGGCGCCGAGCAGGGGTGGGCAAACTAGTTGCCCCCCATCTTGGTGCCTGTACGTTGGGGTTTACCCCGGTGAATGAGAGGGTAGCCTCCCTCCGCCTACGTGTGAGGGGATAGGTTCTGACTGTGGTCGACATGGTCGGGACATAGAAGGGGGTGCACGGCTAAATAAGTTTGGGAACCACTGGGTTAAGGAATCGCCTCATACTGCCAGTAGAGAGCCAAAACTAGCATGAGTGGAAAACCAGCCAAAAAAGATCAAGAGGGAGAAACTTGAAATGACTTCTACATGTTAAACCAGTCCTGTTTTGAGGGTTTTGTTATTGTTTCCTCTTTAGTGCACCTGTCTTTAAGTCCATGAACACCAATAAAGCTGAAAGTGATTAACAATGCCCTCAGCTGCTTAGTCAACCAGGAAATTATCAGACAGGTTTAATTGATTTCATGCCAGGCCCAAAAAAACAGTGTTCCTTTAATTCTTGTGAGCAGTGTATTTTAAAACCACTTTAATTCAATTCAATTCAAGTTTATTTATATAGCGCCAAATCACGACAAGAGTCGTCTCAAGGCACTTAACATAATAAACATTCCAATTCACAGTTCATTAAGCCAATCAGAAATAATGTTTCCTATATAAGGAACCCAGCAAATTGCATCAAGTCACTGACTAGTGTCAGTGTCTTTACAGCAATCCTCATACTAAGCAAGCATGCAGCGACAGTGGAGAGGAAAACTCCCTTTTAACAGGAAGAAACCTCCAGAGGATCCTGGCTCAGTATAAGCAGCCATCCTCCACGACTCACTGGGGATCGAGAAGACAGAGCACACACACACACGCACACACACACACACACAGACAAGTAATGTGTCTATAGTTATATTGTGATGTCTTAGTAAATATTGTATTTGGTGAAAGATAAACTTTATTGTATTTATCCTAGTGGATCTATAATTAAACGAGTAAACTAGTAGTAGCACATCAAAAGTCAATGAAAACAAAAAGTTATTATCAGGAGAGGGAGAATGTTTTAGTGGTTAGCAGCAGTGTGCTAGTTGATGGCCCCCTCCATGAGGCCACCACAGCTCAGCAGAACGTCATTGTAGCTTCTTCTGGGGAGAAAAACACTTACAGAGAAAATAAAGTTAACAGCTGAAATAGCAGGAAATAATACAGTTAAAGAGCAGATTGTAGAAGAAAGCAGTAGAGTGTGGAAAGTGGTCAGTGTGTCCTCCAGCAGTCTAAGCCTATAGCAGCATAACTACAGAGTTAACTCTGGATAATCTATCCTATTTAGATGGAGGCATGTTGGAGTCAGGGCAAGGGAGAGCCGTCTTTACCGACTGTACACTCCACATCCCTCTACTCCCCCACTTGTCCAGATTTAGGCTAACATCAGATTTTAACCATAGGCCCTATCAAATAAAAATGTTTTAAGCCTAGTCTTAAATGTAGACAAAGTGTCTGCCTCACGGACTAAAGCTGGGAGCTGGTTCCACAGGAGAGGAGCCTGATAACTAAAAGATCTGCCTCCCATCCTAATTTTAGATATTCTTGGAACCACCAGTAAACCTGCAGTCTGAGAGCGAAGTGCCCGGTTAGGAACATATGGAACAATCAGATCACTGATGTATGATGGAGCTTGATTATTAAGAGCTTTATATGTGAGAAGAAGGATCTTAAAATCTATTCTGAATTTAACAGGTAGCCAATGTAGGGAAGCTAAGACAGGAGAGATATGATCTCTCTTTTTAATTCTCATCAGAACTCTAGCTGCAGCATTTTGGACAAGCTGAAGACTTTACTCTTTATTCCCGCCGCCTTCAGTGTTGTCCCCGAAAATGTTCCCATATTAAGTTGATTCAGGATGTCCAGACAGACATCGAAATCTCTGTCAGCACTTTCCTTGAATGACGAGACACGATCTTAGCTGATCCTGTGACGTAGGAGGTGGATTTAGTGCGACATGACCGTTCAGACTAGTTGCTTTCAAAAACATCAAGAGACGTATTCAGTACTGGATCGGATTGGAAAAAAATCAGATCTGTGCTGTTCAGACTGTCACAAAACTGGTGAAAACATTGTATTTGATGCGCTTTAGCCTGCAGTGTGAAGGTAGCCTTTGACTAAAGTCCTTTTCTGAAGACTTGACTCAAAAGTGATCTTTTTCTGAGCCATTCAGAGGTGGGCTCTCACTTTTGTTTTAGATCATTTCCTGTAGAATTACCCAAGTGCCTTTGGGCTTATGGTTATGGACTGTGGGCCGGACGTTGTGTGTCAGCCTTTGCTGCTAGAGAGCACAATCCACGTTCCATCAGTTCCAGTAGTCCCGAAGCAGAGCAGCCCCAGACTATCACACTACCACCACCATGTTTGATTGTTAGTCAGATAATGATTTAGTGTTTTACTCCCGGTGTAACGGAACACTTGTTCTGCTTTAGTTTCGTCCTTCCTCTGAGCGCTTTCCCAAAAGTCTGTGGGATCATGGATGTCTTCTGGTGGATGTGAAAAAAAAGATTGACAAAATTTTTTCTACGATGAGAACGGAGAAGGGGGCTCCCACCTGTCCCGAGGGGACATTCGCAGCGGGATATGCACTTGATTCTTGGGAGGTCTGGCGAATCGTGTGCCTCTCTCAGCTGTCCATCGAGGACGTGGAAGATTTGTGGATGTTCGGCCTGATGATCACTGGATTTCTTCTGATTGGAGTGGGAGGATATCTGGTTTTCTGGAAATTTGGGAAGACTGGAGCGATTGGAGTGCAACCCGTGCCCACGGAATGTGCCGCTCGGGCGGTGACCTCACAAACTGGGACGTTACTCGAGGTGAACCACAAGCTGGATAATGTCCTCGCGGCATTGCCTGTGATAGTACGCAAGATGGATTTGATCTCGGAGAGGGTCGCCGGACGATGCGGGGATGGTTAGAACGTATAATTGGCTCACTGGTGGACATGAATGACCACTTAGAGACTCCAAGGCGGAGAGGAAAATTATCTCTGCCTGCCCCAAACAAAGTCATGTTTATCCTTATCTGACGCCATAGCAGCCTCTCAAGGCTGCCTCAACTCACCCCCACGAAAGGAGGAATGCCGACAGATGCTGTGTCCCGACCTTCACCCTCTTCCTTCAGATTGAGACGTCTGCGGGAAACTTCAATGTGCTCTCTGGTCCTTATCTCTCCCTCCCACCTGTTGGTCTGCAGTTGGTCGATGCGCCGCAGTGGCAGCTCCCATTGGAGGCTTCAGGAACCCACCCATCCCCGCCTCCCCATCGGACTCTGATGTTTTGTATCTGTGCTGTTTGTGCTTCCATGTTAAAGGAGTTTTTTTTGTATAATAGAGTTACTCCCCGCTGGGGCTAACTCTGCTATTCCTTTTTTTACCTTACCCCTAATTATCCTCATGTAACACCCTTTTCATCTATCTATTAAGGTAGCGCGACTCATGTTGCGAATGACCGCAGGCACCAATTCTTGTTATGTGTCTTACCCACGTATGTCTGATCTCTGAATTGTGTGTACTGAAACTCAATTTCGTTTCTCTGTATGTCCTGCACATGTGGTAGAAATGACAATAAGTGACTTTGACTTTGATGTGAGACCTTTGTGGTTTTTTGCTCAGCAGGGGTTTTGATTACAGTTGCTCCACAGAGGCCATTTTCCCACCCCTTGTCTTTTGTTTAAAATAGCTGACTCATGACCTCTGACCTTAACCAAGAGGCTCATGTGTGGATCTAGGTTGGTTTGTTTTTTCTCGCTGGCTTTCTCAACACAAAGGAAAACAGTCACAGCACGTATGACTCAGCGGTTCTGTCATTTCACTCTTGTTCCACTGTTTTGACCAAAGAAACACCAGTAAGGGTTGGCCTTTACTGTCTGCAAACATTTTTATTAGACTGCAAAGAGTTTTAACAGCAGGCTGGTTATTTTTTAAATCTAAATCACGTTCACGTTGTGGTTTGGCATTGTCGATCTTGAGGTTTACAAGAGGATGGCCCAGATGGTCGGTGGCTCTGCTGGCCGTGGCTCTTGCAGTCTACTGGCTTCCATCTCCCATCAACCCCAAACCACACAAGTGAGTGTGCATGCTTTTGTTTTTACTGCTGTTCTCCAGACTATGTGAACAGTAACGGTAACAAAGATCGCAGACACCAGCTCCACTCTACATATCAAAACTAACAGCTTTACATCCAGTCTTTTGTGCTTTTGGTCCATGTCCACACATGTTGTGGGTCTCCCCCCGCTTTCCTTTCTTCATCCATGTTCATTTCTCCAACACAAGTGTCTCAAACATGGACGTAATTTAGGGGGGGGGGGGGGGGGGACATGTCCCCCCCACTTTCTCCAAAGTCAAGTTTTCACCCTTGCACTTTTTACCAATACTTTATATTAAATTGGCACTGGTTGAGCTCTAGGACCAAGCAGAAAACAACCATTTGTGTTGAAGCCTGTTTCCCATTAGAACATACTGTAAAGACCCCCCCCCCCCCCCCCCCCCACACACACACACACACACACACACACACACATGTGCCCCCCCCCCACTTCTAAAGTGAAAATTACGTCCATGGTCTCAAACATTTGTCTAATCTATCGATTAGACCGGCTACATGCTTTAGTTTTAGTATTTATGAACAGTGGATGATTGCTCCAGTTTTTAAATGGTTGCTTTTAATGTTTCTCTCAGCCTGAAAGGACCTCCTCCAGCTCTGGTGGGGCTGCTGGCTGTTAACACCCAGCTGCAGAGGGGCCGCCGGCTGTTTGCGGGGAAACTTCATGGACCAGAGTCCTTCACCGCTGATGACAATGGTGAGTTTTCTATTTTTGCATAACTTCAGATTTATGTGAAATCCCTCCAGAAAGATCTGGTTCTGTCCAGCTCATCAAGGTCGAGCCTCCCAAGTTCTGTTGAACAAAGTGAAACTGTAATAATGATGGTACTTCCTCGAGGGCCGCTATCCCACATGCCCTAGCGTTTTCCCTGCTTCAACACACCTGATTTCAATCAGCAGGTGATTAACAGGCTTCTGGAGAGCCTGATGAGCTGCTGCACAGGTTGGAACTAGGAAACAACAAAACGATGCAGGATGCTGGCCCTCGAGTGCTGGAGTTTGACACCCCAGGGTTAATGAAAGGCCACCCAGCCTCTATCGCTCCCGTGGTCAGAATATCGCACTTGCAACTTCACAGTTGCTGGTCTGGTCTGTTGGGACCTGGCGCTGTTTTCTGGCTTCAGCATGTGTCCTGCACGTTTTAAATCATGAACATGAGTGATTTGTTTAATTTAGTAATTTCCCTCTGGGATTAATAAAGTATCTTTGAATTGAATTGAATTGAACCACTCCTCTAGACACTTAGGAACGCTGGAAGGCATTTCAGCTGTTAGATTAAAGAGCAAGTCACCCCCCTACCAGAGTCTTACTCCACTCCCACTTCCTGTTTGAAAAATGCAACAAATGCTGTTGCCTGGCAGACCGAGAGGGTGAAGCCGCTAACAAATACACACACACACACACACACACACACACACACACACACACACACACACACACACACACACACACACAGGCTCACAACGGCATTGTAACATCATATGGTACCAGCTGATGTCATAGGGTACCTCTTAGCCAATAACGACAGCAGATTTAAATTTGCATGCAGTGCTGAGTTTTTACCTGAAGAGGGCGCAACACTGACAGTTTGGCAGAATTTTTAAATTTGAACTGAGATGCGCTAAAGTGCCAAAGTATTGACTACACGTGTCCGCAGCACGACTACACTCATTTATATAGTTTATCAGCAAAAAAAAAGTAGATTTGAGGGCGACTTGCTCTTTAAGGTGTTAAAAGATGAATGCACAGCGAGGAGATAAGTTTTGGTTACGCTTCAACAAACTGACACTAGGGGGTGCTAAAAGCAAGCAAAGCAGCCTAGTAAGACAGAAAATAACAATTTTATTGGATATTTAGAGTTTTTTATAACCTTATCAGGCCTACTTGGCTTTAGTTTTTGCTAAACATGTATAGGACTGCGTTGTTGCATTGCAGCTAAAAGGTTGCTGGTTCAAATCCCACCTGTGCTGCCTTTCTGCACATTCTCCCTGTGAATGTGTGGGTGGTCTTCCACAAACCAAAACAACGCGTGTAGGGTTGAATGTGGACCTGTCCAGGTGTCCCCCCACCGCTCACCCTGTGAGTGAGACACAGGCCCCGTGACCCCAGGGAGGAGTACGGGCTTGGAAAAAGGATGGATGGTTTTCGTTAAAACAACCCAAATCGGTTGTGTGTTTGTGGATCTGGAGCAGTTGAATAGATTTATCTTTGTTAGGTAACGTTTACACCGGAACAGTCGACGGGAAGCTGTGGAGGATCGGTCCTGATGACAGCCTCACCCTCGTCACACACATGGGTCAGAACCTCCCAGAGTGTGGTTCGTATTCTTCAGCGTGTTTAAATGATAAATCTGTTTTCATTTTAAAACATTAATGTGTCTTTATGCGCGTCACGGTCACTCACTCGTTTCATTTGTTCAACAAATTAACAAAAGGCCGTAGTTTTTTATTTAAAACAATAAAGTTTTCCTTTTTGAAAAACGGCTCAAGTGTGTTTTCAGGCAGCAGCACGGACTACGAGCTCGTGTGTGGTCGTCCTCACGGGGTCCGCTTGGATCGCCACGGTCAGCTGATTGTTGCCGACTCTTACTTCGGCCTGTACCGCGTCGACCCGAGGACGGGAGAGAAGACCCGACTGGTGGCGAACACGGAGGGTACCATGTTTTTTCTGAGGCTGATTTAATGAACGAAACTCTCATCGTCCTCCTTCCTCAGCATCTCCTCTCCATTTTCAGGAGCTCGTGGCGTTCCCTTTGCCTTCCTAAACGGCCTGGAGATTTCCTCCCAAGCTGGAATAATTTACTTCACCGACTCGTCAAGTCGCTGGGGACGCAGACACGTCCGACTGGAGGTGAGGCAAGGAAACTGCGTCAGATCTTTTAACGAACTAGAAAATAAATGCCTTGTAGTTTTTTTTATTCTTATAATTTGAACGTTTGAAACGTAAAAAAGCCCAAAACTGCTTTAAAAGCTTCTTGCGTCACAGCTTTTCTGCTAGAAAATCTCTTGTGTTTTTCCCAGTAGCAGCAACCCTTCTAAATACAAAACTTCTTTCAGCGTGGCTCTAATAGGAATTTTCCACCGCCCAAACTGGCACGGAATGGGAAGGATCGGGTCGCTAAATATTTGGTTTCGATTGTTAAACCAGTCCAGAAAACCTACCCGGACCGGGCCAGTAGCGGGCCAGAGCGGGACCCCTTCTGTTGTGGGTCCAGAGATTTTTGGTCTGGGCGGAGCCACAGCGTAAAAGGTCTAGAGTCCTCTGATTGGCGGAGAGATTACGTAACTACCCGCAGCAGTCCCAGAGTTCCAGTGTTTGTCGCACACACCTCCGTGAGAGCAGGGGTGGGGGGTTGCTCACGTTCTGCACACGTTCCGCTGCTGTTTCTCACCAGTATCAGCTGATGGAGGGCTCTAGTTTACGGTAGGGTCGGGGAGGGGGGGCGGGGCACGACGCTGGGGGAAACCCTGAATATATAGACGCCCCATGGACTGGCGCTGCTTATTTGAGTGGGCATAGCGTGGGCTGCCATCTTGGGTGGGTACTCATTTGACCCCAGTGCATTTATTTCTACTGAGGAAGGTGTTTACCCACTTCTTTGTATGTTCATTCTGTGTTTTTATTCATAATCCATTTTTTTGTTCCTTCCTTGCACAGTTTAGTTATAAAAAGTTTTTTACCTGACATGTTTCAGCTGGTATCTCTAGCCACCATCGCCGGTGTTTGTGGCGTCACTTCCTTTTACCGACATGTGCAATGCAAAAAGGAAAACTACAAACAACAATAGAAAAAACTAACAAACCAACAAGAAGAACCAGAAACACAGAAAGACCAGAACCAAAACCAGTAGTGACCCTTCCGTATATCAAAGGCATAACAGAAAAAGTCATAAGAACATAACATCAACACACCAACAAAACCATACATGACAGAGAACCCAAAGGACAAGATATCAGCTGATAAAAACATGGAGTTGAGCATGAAATCCCATGCAAACTCTGCAGTAAAACATACGTAGGAGGAACCGGACGCCAACTCAAAACACGAACAATAGAACGTCATCAAAGAGCGAAAGGGAAACGAGTCGAAGACACACCAGAGCAGCCGAACAAGAAGCAGAACATACAATAAAGAAATCAGCCGTAATAGACCACCTCACAAGGGAAAATCGTAAAATGACTGGGACGGTGCACGGATCATAAACTCAGAACAACAAAAATACAAAAGATGGGTCAAAGAAGCTATAGAAATAAGGAGACGTGGACACAAACCCATGAACGGAGACGATGGAGTATTCGCATTGGATCACGCATGGGAAGGTGTCATCAGCAGGGAGGACGCGGGCAGTAGAGGGCGACGTTGTTCTGTGCTGCCTGCGGATAAATGGAAGTGACGCCACCAACCTGCGATCTGTGACGGCTAGAGAAACTAGCTGAAACGTGTCGGGTAAAAAACAATTTGTTTACTAAACTGTGTAAAAAATTAACAAGAAATGGAGGTGTTTACCCAACAAAAAATACCAAAAATAAAAGACATGATATGGCATAATAATTAAAAATAAATGAATGAATTTTATATTTTAATGAAAAAACTAGTTTGATTGTCTGATGGAAAAACTTGTGAGACGCCATAATGGACCACCAGCATACCTGTCAAGTCTCCACAACAGGAAACTCCCGTATAATATTCCTCTTCCCTTATTAATACTTTCCCGAAAATTTCCCGTATTACGGTCATTCATGGAGACTTCCCCCTCCCTCATGAATACCTGAGCAGCAGCAGACTCCCCACCCCCGACTCTCCCATATATTCAGGGGCAAAAATCCCTCATCATCGTTGGGGGTGACATTAGACAGTAAAAATTTCAGGAGTAATTCCTGAGGGGGACATTAAAAAAAGCTTTTTTTTTCATGTGTCTTAAATGTCTCATATATTATTAAATAATAGCTGTTGTTCTTTATTAGTCCATATATAGTCCAGACCTGTCTACAGGGTTTTGGATGCTCTACCAATAACACTAAGAGTAGTAAAACTAAGAAAGGAAGGTGTCAGTTAGCTACACCATAGACGGCCTAACAGAATATATTTGTTCACCATGAACTTGGGTCTGATCTCTACTACAGCAGCTCAACAAGAACTCAAAGCTCAAATCAGTTTTAAATTAGAAAAATAAATGATTTAATGAATAACTAAACTACACAATTCTTCAAAAATATGTATTTATTGAACTGGTGACAAACAACAACAGCAACAATACTTGTACTTTGTGCCTAATGATATCATTATTAAACATCCAAAACATATCACTTATTTATATGGACAATAATAATAAAATTGCCTTAATATTGTAATGGAATGGACTGACTGTGTTTTTCCCTCCTCTGCACAAGACTAGTCTGCATGAGAGATGGTCTCAAGGTCTCATGCATTCCTTCTAACCTGCTTATTATCATCTCAACAGAAGAATGAAGAATGAACTCTTTTCTTTTAATTAATCAAAGAACTCTATTTTAATAAAGCTAATCCAACCAAGTGTTAGTCAATAAATAAGATGTGACCGACCTGTGAAATCAAAATATTAATTACTTTATTACAATCCTATAGAATATAAAGGTACTATGACTTTAAGTGTTCCAACAGGACTCATTTCACGTAGCGTTAAAAAGACATGACACATTACTTTCACTGATCCAATCAGAATCTTACAGATCTGACGGAGGCGTGGTTTTGACGGTGTTTGGTAATTTTCATTTGACAATAAACCATAACATCCGAAGTATAAAACTACACCACGTCATCTCTAACGCCAGTTCAAAGCGTTCCAGAGAAAGTGACGGAGTGGCCAATCCTGATCTAAACTCTTTAACTGAAAGAACCAACGATAAGCTGAAAAAAAAATTTGTTGCTATTCCAACTGCGGCAGCAGTTCTGGTGAGACCCAAGCCTGGGTCTTGATGGTTCAGCTTTTATTCTGAAAGGAAACTGTTGCCGCAGTTGGTATAGCAACGAAATTTTCAGCTTGTCGTTGGTTCTTTCTGTTGATGAGTTTTAGATCAGGATTGGCCACTCCGTCACTTTCTCTGGAACGCTTTGAACTGGCGTTAGAGCTGATGTGGTGTAGTTTTATACTTCGGATGTTATGGTTTATTGTCAAATGAAAATTACCAAACACCGTCAAAACCACGCCTCCGTCAGATCTGTAAGATTCTTATTGGATCAGTGAAAGTAATGAGTCATGTCTTTTAACGCTACGTGAGATCAGTCCTGTTGGAACACTTAAAGTCACAGTACCTTAATATTCTATAGGATCATAATAAAGTAATTAATATTTTGATTTCACAGGTCGGTCACATCTTATTCATTGACTAACACTTTGATGGATTAGCTTTATTAAAATAGAGTTCTTTGATTAATTAAAAGAAAAGAGTTCATTCTTCATTCTTCTTTTGAGCTGATAATAAGCAGGTTAGAAGGAATGCGTGAGACCTTGAGACCATCTCTCATGCAGACTAGTCTTGTGCAGAGGAGGAAAAAACACACAGTCATTCCATTCTTTTACATATTATTGAAATCTTTCAGCTTACTTGGCGTTTTGGTGAACTGAAAAATGACCTGATGTCTTTCATTTGTCGTTTCTCTGCCATTCTGACCTGACTAGAAGCTACCAGCAATTGGACAATAACAAGAACACAGGTTTTAGATGTAGAGGAGGTTCAGTATCCAGCTGATAAAATGTTTATTTGGCCTACATTTAGCTTTTCCTGCTGTAAAAGAAAACTATTTTTGCATGAATGTGTACGTAACAAGTCCAGAACGCTGTGAACGTACTATAACGTGTAAAAAGATGTTTGACTTTAAAATTGATATAATTGGAGGAAAATATAGAGTGGAAACTACCAGTCAGAATGTTACAAAATGAATATCTGTTAATGGAATATCGAAGTCAAAGGTAGAACTATATTTTAAAAACAAACAAAAAATAAAATCTGAAATAGAAAATTAGATTGTAAGTAATAATATCCAACATAAATGTAAAAATCGACAATATCTGACTACAGAAATGTAAAATGACACTGAAACAAGTTAGTCTAATATTTGTGACATTAATGAGAGGATGATGGCTGTGTGTCAACTGTCTATCCTCTCTTTTACTGTCAATTTTTTCTCCATATACATTTCTGTCTTTCTCTTTTTGTTCTCTCTCCTTTCTGTTTAACCCAGCGTTAATATAAACACATCACGCTGCTTAAAGAGCAAGTCACCCCCAAATAAACTTTTTTTGCTGATAAACTAAATAAACGAGTGTCTAATCGTGCTGCAGACACGTGTCGTCAATAATTTGGCACTTTAGTGCATTTTAGTCAAAATTTAAATATTCTGCCTAAAACTGGCAGTGTTGTGCCGTTGTCAGGTAAAAACTTTGCACTGTATTTTAATTTAAATCTGCCACCGCTATTGGCTAAGAGGTATGCTATGATGTAAACTGGTACATTATGATGTCACAATGCTGTCGTGAGCCTGTGTGTGTGTGCATTTGTTAGCAGCTCCGCCCTCTCGGTCTGCCAGGCAACAGCATTTGTTGCATTTTTCAAACATGAAGTGGGAGTGGAGTTAGACTCTGGTAGGGGTTGACTTGCTCTTTAAATTAAAGAGGCACTCGTTTATTTAGTTTATCAGCAAAAAAATGTTTATTTGGGGGTGACTTGCTCTTTAAGCTAACAATATATGTTGTCTATGTTAAACATGCCAGACTTCACACAAAGGAGCTGAACTGCAGCTTTATGTGTCCTTTGTGCAGGATTTTTGCCTATGCATATATTCCAATCTAAAACATAACAGGTGTGGCCATCAGACGGTGGGAAATGGCGTGGAACTTCCCTGCAGTGGGATTTTTGTTCCAGCCTCCTAAAACGTTTATTTTACTCCCTTACATTACAGAGATTAGCAGTAACAGAGTCGTAGCAGACATATCTTCTGACGGTAAATAAGAAAACATTTCTCAACAGGTAGGCTACAAAAGTCAATAGTAATCCTGTGTGAGTTGTTTCAGCAGTGCGTTGGTTGTTGCAACCGTAGGCTGCTCCATTTGGGTTTGAAGGGTGGGGAACCCATCCAATATGGCGGCGTTATGCTGTTACGCTGTCCAGCGCCCAGTGGGGTGTCATGTTTATGAATGGTAAATTCTCAAGACCAGAATGAACAAGCTCTGAGTCGCAGTAATCTCCGTCTCATCACAGATCAGCTGGAAATCTGGAATTATGTCAGTTAATCTAAAAAGTCCTGGATTTATACAAAATGTAGTTCAGTATCTAAAATATTTTGAGCGCTCAAAATAAGTTTTACACCTGGTGAACTCCAATGACCTCTCCGGATTAATATAAATCAGTCAAAACTACATTTTACCCCTTTTACCTCTGAAACCAATGGAATTTCCAGCACAAGTTCTGTTTTTCCAAAACCACCCTGAACCTGGCTCGAACTGGTTTGATGTTCCAGGTGTTGGAGCTGAACAACCTCGGACGTCTTCTGTCCTACGACCCTCGGACCAGAGTTGTGACGGTGCTGCTGGAGTCCCTCTACATGCCCAACGGCATCGCCCTGTCTCCTGATGAGAGCTTCCTGCTGCTGGCTGAGACCAGCATCGCCCGCATCCTGAGGTACTGATTCCCATCGGCATCTTTATTTCTTTAGTCAGATCCCCAGTAGTCTTTTTTTTTGTTTGTGTTTGTTTTGTTTTTAACGTGGACATTGAGTCTACTGATAAAATTGATGATGATGAATCATTAGAATTATCATAAAAACATTAAATATTACTACAAACAATCCTGAAAGCATCAAACATTAGGACTGTAAAGGATGGGCCGTTTACATCTTACTTATGAACCATAAAATGTGAGATTCCATAGAAATATGAAATATCAATCTGATGGATCTTTGAATATTTTAACCAGAAGATCAGAACTTTTTATTGCAGGGATTAAGCGACACTTCCTATTAACTCCAAGGAAAGAGAGAGAGTCAGGTTTATAATAGTTAAGAAATTTATTTCTACACAATTTAAACAACACTAACTTTAACACTCTGTGTACTGATGGACTAAGGTGGAGTGAGACATGATGAATGATTATGGTGTGTGTGTGGAATGTTATTATCAGAACCAGCGGATCTGGAGAAGCAGTTAGTTCTGAGTGGGAGTGAAGGTTTCGCTCTAAACTTTAGTCGGAGATTTATAACACACATGAAACGCCGTCTGTCGGTCTACGTACCCCAGGGGAAGTCTCGGTTAGATCCAGAATGTCGAGGTCCTCTTGGACCCTCCTTGGTACCGAAGCCGGTAGAAAAGCAGCAGTGCTGACCAAACTAGTCTTGGAATGCTTCCAGGTCACGACAGGTTATCACTGGCGTCTCCGAGACCCTGAAGGGGTCGTGAGGTTGAGCTTTTATTCTGAAGGAGCCATTGTGGTCAGGTGTAACTTGCAACAGATTTTATCCGGCTTGTCGAGGTTCTTTATGGCTGAAGAGGAAGTCCGGATGGCCGGTCCGAGACTTCTCTAGAACGCTTGAACTAAAGAAAAGGCGGCGTGGAATAGTTTTTATAATTGTCATATTTTGGTTTACTGGCGAATCAGAATTCGACATACAGAAGAGGGTTTATACAAACACCACAGATAACCCCGCCCAGCCAGAAACGAAGGTTCTGATTGGATCAGACAAAAGGAAACGTGTCGTATGACTTTAGCATTATGTGTCATTAGTGTCTAGTGCAAATGTCCAGGATTATAATAACTTGTAAAATACTACTGATCACAGGATTATAACATCAAGTAATAACATTGTCATTTCACAGATTGATTGAACATTGGACTCACATTATTATTGGTAATTAACAAAGTTGTTGATTATGTGTTTATCAAAATAGTTCTTCGTCTTCGTCTTGAGCTGTAACAGAGGTGAAGCAGTTCAGATGAGCAGAGTGCATGAAAGACCTTGGCCACTATCTTATGTACATTAGCCTGTCAGAGACTTGATGTCTCTGCTCGAGCAGACGCAGCAGATCATGACCTTTAGGACAAAAACAGGACATTCATGACGCTACAGGACAAACAATCATAGAAACTTGAAAACATTGATAAATATTAATACATTACAGATTTGTAATCTTAATACGCTGTGTCAATGAACACATAATAGACATTCAAAATCAAAGAGATTTTCTTCAGAAAAATTGCCAATCTTAATTATTTTTTGAAATAATATTCTTATCGCTTTTAAATATAAGGGTGATTTATTTTATATGGAAATGGCTCGGTTTATCCCTGATTTCTGTTATTTATTGTCGCGAGCACGTCCTATTTGTCGGTTCCTTTAAAACCTAGTTTCGTTAGAACTTAATAAGACTGCGCTGCGTTCTCAGGGTTCATGGGACGTCGGTGAGTTTTATTGTATTAGACCCTGGTTTGGACCCCCTAATTAGAATCAGTTTCCTATTTTAAGGAGAAATGATACGCCATACTTGTTTCTTTGTGCTAGCACACTTCCTTTTAATATCTCCCATTATCTAGTGGTTTTAGATACTAGGGCAAAGTTCAGCGGGAGGCCATCCGTCGCTGGCAATTCTTTGGGTTATTAGGATTAATTTGCGTCCCTGTCAGCTTTTGTGGGCGGTGGTAACTAGAAAATGATTCTTGTTAGTTGATCAGGCTAACATAGATTTATCAATTTATCTAATTAATCCAACCTTCCCAGCGCTGGCGGAGACTTTTTCACACTTGCAAACAGAGCCTAAATTAACCTACTAATGTTTTGTCTTTATCATCCTTAAGACATCTCGTTACTCGCGGGAGAGGAGAAGACAAGCTTCTTTATCTTAAGGTTTCTTTTTATTAATCTGTCACAAACCGTAAAGCAAATCCTGATAATTCAGGAACCTGTAATTAATGTGCTTACCTCTCCTTATGATAGGTCGAGGCTCCCACTTTAACCTTTAAAGAGGACCTGGAAGAATCAGGGATGTGGATCTTTTTCCAAAAAGTTTATTACAAGATCAAAAAATACAAAAAATTGGTAAATATAAAAGTGATCTCATCCCCCAAGGAGAGATTAATCCTAATAATTAACTAAGAATAATGAGTTGGCTTACACCAACTCTAAATCTTCTTCTCTTCAGGCTAATGCCCTCTAACACACGCTCACTAACTCTCTCCTGCTGCTGCTTGACCTGTCGACCTCTTCTATCCCAAATCTGCTCTGTCTCTTCTGTCGTCTGCCCCAACTGTTGTGTCAGCTCAGCTTCTAGCTGCTCTTTTTATACTCTTCTTGGGTCAGCTTAGACAAAGTAAATGTTTTCCAGTTACACATCCATCATTATCTCATGACAGTAAGGTCATGGGGTCATTTACCAGTTACACACTTTTTAGCTCAACACAAGACATTTGGTGTCTTTTCCCGATGTTCAGGACTCTTCATGAAGGCTTTTTAGCTTAACACAGGCCATTTGGTGTCATCTTTGCAGCAGATCTTCAGTTTCTTCCAAAGTCCAGCATTCTCCATGAAGGCCTTTCGTCTCCTGATGAGCTCTTGATGAGCTCTTTTCACTCTGTCTCCTTCAGTCCCACTTCTCCTGCTGAAGGTTGGGTCAGACGCTTTTTGACCTTTTGCCCAATTTTACTCGCAGAAGCAAGTTCTGATCCCTTGGATTCTTCATGAAGTGTTTGTCCACTTCTGAGATGCTTTATCTTCAGTTGATCTTCTTTTGTCCCAGCTTGGATGCTTGGTGTGCAGTTGGGCCCCTGTCTTCTGGCTGATTTTACTCGCATAAGCAAGTTCAGTGTGTTTCAGTGTGGGTCCAATCTTTTCTCTGTGGCCCACCTGTTGACTCCGTTTCTTGCCACTGTCTTTGGCATGTGGGAACTTGCAACAATATTCGTTTCTGGTGTAGCAATGAATACATATTAATTATGATCAATAGATGTGATATTCCATACAATTATGAAATTTCAATCTGATTGATCTTTGAGTGTTTAATCAGAAGATTCCAGGGTTCTTAGCTTGTTCAGGGACCATAAACACACTTCGTATTAATTCAGAGTATGGTATATATTTTACAAACTGAATTTAATGCTTTTTCCTAAACTAATAATTTATACATGACAAAATATGAATAAGGTGTTGTGATGGAAGCTAGACGTTGTAGCAACTGTTGCGGTCAGAATGGTGAGGTCACCGGACGTCGAAACCACAATACTCAGAGATTAGTAGCTTCCTCCTCTGAGTTCAGCTTCCCCGGCCATGAGATGCAACCCGGGGTCTGCAGATTAGGTGTGAAGTAGCTCTGAAAAGAGCCGTTGTGTCTGTAATCACTTGCAGCGTCGCAGAAAGGTTTTGACTTAAGGTCAAAGGAGTGTGTTTCAAAAGAGGCTTCTTTCCCGATTTGGCCGAATGTTTTTAACCTTAACGTGTATCTTATTGTAATGTGTATGAGTGTACACAATGATTAACTCGTTAAATCAAACATACTGATTTGTGATATAAATGGATCATTGTAAGAACAATATTCGTTTCAAATTCATTGACTAAAGCACAGGTTATTCAAACATTTCATCTAAACATCTTGTTCATTCATCACATACTGTCATGACCTCTGCGTTCCTGAGCTCCGTTTACCCACCACACCATGGACAGCTCCGCGCTCCGGCCCCGCTGAGAACGACAAGGAGAGTTCAGAAACGAGAGACGAAACGGGGAAAACCTGAGACCGCATTTTGCCACAACTTGTCCCACAAGGTTCTGTGCTGGGGCCTCTGCTCTTCCTCCTCTATCTGCTTCCTCTTCAGCACATCCTGAGCTCCTTCAAAGGAATCTCCTACCATCTTTATGCAGATGACATCCAACTGTACATCTCCTTTAAGCCCCATGAGATGTCTAAACTGCAGCGGTTACACACCTGCTTAGACTCTATCAAAACCTGGATGGTGGGAGCTTTCTTCAGCTGAATGAAGATAAGACTGAGATCCTCATCTGTGCTCCAGACAAGCTGGTTCCCAAAGTCAGAGACTCTTTTGGTCAGCTTGCTTCCCACACCAAACCTTCTGTCAGGAATCTTGGCGTGACCTTTGACCCAGCTCTCACCCTGGATTCTCAATCCAGTTCTCTTGTTCGCTCTTCCTTCTTCCATCTCAGGAACATTGCTAAGCTGAGTCCCATTCTGTCCCGCTCTGAACTTGAGACAGTTCTCCACACCTTCATCTCCTCACGCTTAGACTACTGTAACTCTCTTTTCACGTGTCTGAGCAGAACCTCCCTGAACCGTCTACAGGTGGTTCAGAATGCCTGTGCTCGGCTTCTGACCAAGTCCTCCAAACACACCCACATCACCCCGCTTCTCCTCCAGCTTCACTGGCTGCCAGTCAACTTCAGGGTTCATTTCAAGATCCTGGTTCTGGTCTATAGGGCCTTACATGGACAAGCACCATCTTACATGGGTGATCTTCTCAGTCCCTACACCCCCAGCAGGTCCCTGAGGTCCAGTGATCAAAGCCTACTGGTTGTGCAGCACCAGGCTAAAGGTCAAAGGTGACAGATCATCTGCTGCTGTGGCCCCCAGACTCTGGACCTCCTATCCCGGGATCCACTGATTTCCCTCTTTCCTATTCTCTCT